TCCTGCCCCCACTCCCATCACCACTTTTAGACTAATCACAACTAGGAGAGTTTTCTTGTCCCCAGAAGATTATAACGTAAACTGAAAACACAAGATACTAAAACAGACAAATCTCTAGTAATAGCTGTTATGATGTGGCTACGTTACACAGACTCCATCTTCTCACCCTCAGCCTGACTATGATTCTCAACAAACCAGGACAAAGCTCCTGCTGTACCTCTTGTACTGTGCCATCTCCTCCTGCAATAATGATCAGATCTGTGTTTTCCATCAATTCCAGCAGCTTTTTTGCTTGTCCCTCATAATCAGTCTGAAGAAACAGAAATCCAAACATGAGAACTCAAGTGACTATTTCTAGGATTTCTCTTCTATAGAAAAAAAAAGATCACCTATCCATTTGCTTAATAGTTATTCTCATACAGGCACATAGTGCTGTGTATTACTTACATTCACAGAGATTTCTTCAACTTTCAACACAAGTCTGCTGCCTAATGCAACGTGTGCAAGCAAATGCAGACACACAAACGCTAAATGAAATACCAGAGTAAATCTTCTTCAACAGATCTAGAATATTGCAGCAATAATCATATTTCCAGGTAGTATTACACTGAAACAAAACCACAAGCAAACCATGGTCTTGCAGAAGTCCCAACATAGTTAGCAACAAAGAGCTCAAGCGCATCTCCTGAAACACAGAATCGGCTACATAAAAGGCTACTGCCCAACAGCAAGCTGTTGACAGTGGGTTTAGCACCAATACACTGACTTTCTAAACCATCAAAACCGTTTTCTGCAAAAGTAATGCCTTTTACAGGGACATCTCAGCCTTAGTTACTGGCCCTGCCCTTTCTTCTGACTCCTCAGGTGTGAAGCTACAAAGCATCAGTTTTGAGTCTTGCAAAATTTTTTCTCTTAGGGTGGGACTATGTATTTTCAAGGGTCAGAGAGAGGCATTAATAAAAACACCATTTTAACACCAGACCTTGTGAAAAAGATTCCAAGACGGAAAGATACTTCTTTAGATAGAGTATTTCATTGCCAGGACACAGTGACTATTAAACTATCCACATATCACAGCCTCAAAAACCTGCAAAAAGATCAGAATCCTTTCATGTTTACTTTTTTCTTCTCTTTCCAAAGACAGGCTCTTTGCTAATTCACCCCATTTAGAGCTCAATGTTCTGCTTTCGCGATGCAAAAGTTGAATTATTTGGGGACACACTAAGATCTTTTCAGTGTAAAAATAAAAGGTTATTTTGAATTAATCTGCACAGTTCCACTGCACATCAAAGCTCCTCACTTCTGAATTCTGCAAGTTTGGGCAGAATTGACAACCTCAACAGCGATGGGCACGCACCACTACCCAGCACTCCAATGTTTTGAGAGTTTTCTCTCAAACATCAATTATAAAGGGCTGCTTTAGACAGACAGACAGACAAGCACATGTACTGCTTTAGCTGAAAATTAAAAACTCAGTACATGGTCTGTAAATTAACTGTGAATTAAAAAGAAAAAGATTAAGCACCAGCTTAGTATCTCAGTATTTATTTCTTCTCACAAGATGTCTACAGGACAATTGAGAATTTCAAACGCATTCAGAACTGAATTTCAGTTCTTCAAGAGGACAAAGCAGAGCAGACAATAGATCTGTATCAACAGAACGGTTCTCACCTTAACCACAGTTACATCCAAGCCAGATAAGTGCAAAATTGGAGCTGCATTCTTTTCAAAAAGGTTCCCGGCTTTGCTAGATGAAACAGAGTAAAAACTATTTCATTAGTCCGGTGGCTAAAAAAATTAAAAAGGAAAGAAACAAATGAATAACAAGAAGAAATCTACTTAAAAACAGAGCATACAATCTACACAATCAGTCACTCAACGTGCCAGTCAGGAAAGACGAGATTTCATTTGGTTCAAATGTATTACATTTCTAGACTCGTAGCTCAGATGTCAGCTTTTTGTTCCAGTTTTAACAAATGCAGAAGCGGTTATCTAGCTTTCTCCAAAAATAATTAAAAAAAAAATGCAAAACAAGAACTCCAGAAATTTATTAGAAAATTCATGAGTTACAGAGCACCAGGCTTTACTACCACAAAAGAGGTCCGCTTAAGTTTTCAGAAAGATTTTTAAAACATATTTACAGTTGTATATGATTAAATAAGTTCAGAAGCAAAATTTTAGCTGACTTTCTTTTGTTATAGGACCCATGCATTTTCTGCCTGTAACTGCACAATAAAATAATTATGCCATTAACTATAAATTGTTTACAAGTAGAAACATGAGATGAAGTCGGAGATTTAATTTATTAGCACTTTGCATTTTCCAATCATGGGTGTTTTGAACAAAAGCATATTAAGTCCAAGCACTTCCATGTCAGATATACAACTCCTTTCATCTTGTCACTGACAACTCCCCGCCCCTCCCTGTGATGCAACTGATACAAAGCTCAGCTGATCAGCCGAAACAGACAGACACTATATCCAAGATAACCGTTATTCTGCTAATGAGTATGCAAAAATAGCAGCCACCCTCTTCCAGGAGTCTTGCTCTGAGCCCATAATGAGCCTCTCAGTTTGTGGGCACATCCCTTTCAAGGACAGGTTCCCACAGAAGTAAGATCACAGCTGGCTAACTTCAAGTCTTGAAGCAATCAAGGTCATCGCTTACTTCTATAGTTTTGAAGATGGAAATCTATCACAGACTAAAGTGTGGAAGGAATACAAAGCAATTCCACACACGGAGGAATGACAAAGGCCGAAACAAAGGATAAAAGAAAAATGAAAAATATACTTCCATTTAGAAATCTTTCTTTCAACTCAAGCATCTAGTTCTATTTCTCATCCCAGTATTTTTGGTGAAATAAAGTTTGGCATAGTTACATAGCACCAGCTTGGCATCATAGGGAGGCAAAAATGAGCTAAAAAATCTGGCTGGCTTTTATAGTGGATAGCAGAGCAAAAATACAGAAAGAGTGCCTCACATATGAGATCAGCTGGTTGCCAAAAGCCTAAGTGAGATAAAAAGAGCAGAGTTCTGTTTATCTTTTAAGCACATTGGTAAAACAGTTCAAAATAATGCATCTCTGCAAATGTCAGTGGGCTTTCAAGCCTCGTGACATTCAAATGACTTCCATTTTCAGCCAGTGCACAGGTCTCCTATTCAAAGACCTGCAATCTTAGCAACAGCTCACACCACTGTCACAAGTACTTTTTAGCTCATTTTTACAATTCCACCACCATTTAATTTTTGTCAAGCTCTGGTTTTCTGCCACGGGCAGAGATCCAGGGAACTATCCTTGACTCCAAGGTTACTTTGATTTTCCTTCCTTACGTAATTCTCATGCATCTTCTTTCTGCAACTTTTTCCACTTCTGTATTTCATTTCTTATATCTCTTCTGCTCATTTTTGTATTTTCTATGCTTTTTAAAAATGCGAAAGATAACCAGCAGAGAATTTGCCCTGACCTATAAGCAAGCTCACTGTTTCTCAGACATTTTTTATTCCTAATGCCTCCATATAAAAATCACTGAATTCATCTTGAACTTTTAATCAAATTCTGAATAGGTGTCTTGATTTTAAATTCTTCAAGGGTTACTCCATACAGCCTCTCATACCTTTTAGCTATTTGTACCTATTTCCATAGCTTTTCAGACCAGGAGAGGCAAGAAAAGGCAAAGCTTCCACACATGTTACTCCCCACTCTGTAAGCCTCTTTCAGGTCACTTAAAGCTATCCTCACCACCACACCAAATGGAACTGGTTTTGAGCACAAGGATGACAGCGTACTCAGCAGTACCATCCAGAAGCCCCAGAATAAAGCAGCAACAAAAGGCTACTGTGCTGAACACAAGACATAGTCAACTGTCCCTGTTGTTTTTTTTCCGCATTTCTCTTGAAAGCTGATCCTCCTAGCAGGTATTTTTATATTGAGGAAGGTCAACACTGTACACAAAGCACAGTAGATTTTAGTGATCGTTAGCTGCTTAAATTTATAATTAATTCCAGTTGCCAACTTTGCTCAGGAAACCTCAACGAAGAGTAGTGCGCAGCTGGCTATGTTGCTTAAAGCATTCGAATTTCTTCTTCAAGCAAGGAAAACGATGAGAGAAGTTGCTGAGAGTAAAGGAATCTTCAAAGAAAGGGAAACAAATCAATAGCTCTTAAGCTTTATTCAAACATCAGCTGGAAAACAGACCAACTTATTTTATTGCAATTGTTGAGCGGGAATTGGGAAACAGCATGTTACAGCTGTTAGAAACAATTAATTATTTGCTGGGGGGGGCACAATGTGATGTATTTTCTTGCTCTAAATAACCTAATGAGGCTCATAAAGAATTTATGAGTAATGACATAATCACTTCTTTATGTAATATAGTTAGACATTTGTGTTACGTACAGGAGCATTTCTAAAACAAATACTGATTTTTAAGACAGGAAATAAAAAAATAATAATGCAACATACTAAAAGTCTTTTTTTTTTTCCAAAGCACAACATAAGACAACTTAAAGCCAGACATTAAAAATGGTTATTAAATATATAAATATATATTTAATTTTTCACTTCCTTGTCAAATGCACACTTACAGGTATTGCATTTCTGGACTTCCAAGATGACAGTCACTATTTTGCAACTATGAAAAACCCTCTCTACAAAGGCTTTATAATGCTTTATGAATACTAACAGAGAAACTACATTCCTTTACAGGAAACTATCCCTGCTTCACAGTGCAAGTTGTTTGCCAGCTACACAGGACCTCAAACACGTGCCCAGAGTTCAGTAACAAGGTCAATCAGCAAGACCACATTTGCAAGGGAAGTCCAGTCAGCTAACACTGGCTTATTCCAGAGAAGGAGCTGGAAAAGGGTTAAAATACGATAATGGGTTCTTTTCTATATAATCTCTCTATGATCATTTGCCACTCCAAGGCTGACACCATAAACTGGTATTTAAATTCAGACGTGCGCGGTGGAGTCTTTGCATGAAACACTTCGGTAGCAGATACTCTGGCAGGAAGGTGGGTGCCAAATCAACTTGGTATTTTAACAGGCTTAAAAACTTAAAAATCTGATGTAAAAATAATAGGGAACCCCCTCCCACTTCACTCAGACTAAACTACTTCTTGGGTGAGTCTGCCTCTATTTTTTCCCCAATACTTACACAGCACCATAAATGCAAGTAGCATTTTTCAGACAACTACAGACTGTTGTTCTTCTGAAGAACATATCAGACATTTAATGCCTTACTGCTGTATTACTGCGTGTTTTCAAGCAGTATTTGGCATTGACACATCAGTGAGAATGGAAATTACAGCAAGAATTGATTACTAGGCTTTCTAGTTCACTCCTTTCTAACGCAGGAGTCTTCTGCAGGATATTTTCTCAGGCTTTAACCACTGAAATTGTAGGAAGCTCTACTGACTGTGCTTTTGCACTTTCATTTGCAAAAATAAGCCACAATGGAATAGATCCCATCACTTAATGACTGGAATTAAGAAACAGGAAAGTCAGAATTTCCTCCACAGCACTATCTTCTTGTACCAGTCTTTCCTTAGCAGTTACACCTTTTTGACAGCATACACACTTAGATCCTTTAACTTCTCCTGATGTACCATTTCATCAGTGCCTTTTTTAAAAGTTTTTTATTTTGGTCAGCATGCTTCAAATACTGAGGTAGTAAGTGCTATTTTTGGTGATATAAAAAACTTCTATCACTTTGATATTATGCAGTAAACATGAATATTAAAAACATAAAAATCCAGAACAACTGATACTATGAGTTGGAAACGCATTTGGCTCTGAAGCTATAAGAATGATTTATGAAAGCAGCATTTTCAGGGAAATATTTTTCTTATTCTTTCATGAGACTTGAGCTCCCTTACATCTATTCCGGCATGAAGTTCCATTGCCCACACCAAGTTGCAGTAAATATCTTTCCCTCAACAGCAAACAGCCTAAAACTGAGATTATTCAGGTGCACCACAGAAGCAGGGTAATCTCTAAGAAAATTCTTTAATGAGGAAAAACATCTTTCACCGTTCTTCTCAGGCCCTAGTACACAGCAACGATGGGAGCAGAGTTACACCCTGCAAAATCGCCAAGATCTGGCATGGAGAAGAAGGTTTAGAATAACCTTTATTTGTGGGAGGTAGAAAGGCTCTTAAAACCCCACAGCACAGCACCGAGGTAATCAGAGCCAGTAAGCAGTCGCTGTGCAGCGATGTCACCCATGGGCAGCAGCACTTGCACCCCTGAAAGACTGCACGTCAAGGGTAAGAGTTCTTTATGGGAATACTTCAGCATGGGAACTTGTTCACTGCTGGTTGCCCACACAGACCACAAACTACAAAATGCAATGGTCAGTACACTTGGTAACAACCCCTTTCTCTCTGAATACTAGCTTTCTTGTCAGCGATCAGCAAATGGGTTGTCTCCATTGAGTTCCCAGTACACAGGTCTCAAAAACGCTAGGTCAGCCACCATACCTCGTATCCTCAATAAACGCACTCAGGCTCAAATAGACAAGGGCAAGGTCCCTCCAGCCAAGCACTAACATGAAGCAGTTTGCACTGCTTCTGCCCAGACTACACCCATCATGGTGGATCTGAGATTTCAGTCTCCTGCCTTATCAACAAATCATCTTCCTACCAGGACCGTACAGGCACAGAGCAATCACACCTGCAGAAACGGAGGTCTGGGTAGCTACAGCAGTAACTAAGGTCACCCCAACGATAACGCTGCACCGTCCATCGCAACAGCAGTCAGGGCATGAAAGGTACAGGACCCCAGCTGCAGGCCTCATCCACCCTTTGGCACTTTTAGCAAAAGAACACAGATGGCATCGTTATAAGGCTTGTCACATAGAGAGGGCCCGCTGGGAAAATCTCACAAGCCCTGCACAACCAAGATAAGAGCGAGATTTTAATCTAATTTTATCACTTTATACGGTATTACCTGGGCTTGCTGGCATGCAGCTCTTCGTAGCAGGTTATCACTATGAGGTAAGACAGAAAAGAGAGTGGACATTAGGTTGTGTAAGCTTGAAACAATTTGCCCCTTTTTAAAACATAGGTACATACCCTTCTTACACACACTTTGACAGCACTAAAATAAAAAATACAGGTTCTTTAAGACCTATTTAACACATTTTAAGGATGAAACACACCCATTTAAGCACACATGCATAGTTTTTTTCTGCATGTGCACACAAACACCCTTTCTATAGTAAAGAAAAGCAGAAAACAAAGACCAGGATGCCAAGTGTGCTGAGATTACATAAGCTGTGAGACACTGTATAACTGTGATTTAAATTGCTACATAACTGTACTCTAGATCCAAGGTGTGTTTTTTTCCAGTGTTAATATTGCCTGTTATTTACACTGAAGGTACTTACCATTCTGGCAGCATAGAAGGGATTTAGAGCAGACTTAAGTGTAACTTCCATGGACTTAAATCTTTGTGCATTGTAATTGTGAACTCCCCTCTCCATCGGTTTGTAAGCCGAACACATGTTAATGCAGCACCTACCACCCACCTAGGTCTGAGCATGGCCTAAAGCAGTAACTCAGAGAAGTGACAATACTCAACTCACCTAAGTGAAGTTTAAAAATAAAGAAGAAACTATTAGATACATCACTGATGGCCATTTCAGAAATAAATTCCAGACTAATCCTTGTGCTTGTCACTGGTGACAGACAGCATAAGCAAGGTGGCAAGCAGGGTATAGCTGACAAGCAAACTGGAGACAGAGCTACCGAGTGAGGAAAAATAAATCAGTTCTTCCCCAGACCAAAAGCCCTACTGGCCCTTGCAGACAAAACAGGAGTCCTGTCCTGCACTGTCCAACATCTCACCTGTCCTCTAGACACCAGACATGCTTCCTTCTTGCTGAAACCAATCAACTCCTTCAGCTTTCCCATGCCAACACCTGGCAAGGCAGTACATTATTGCCTCAAAAATACCAAGTACAAGAAACCCCAATTATAGTCAGCCCACCAAAATGAATATACTACACCAATTAAAAGGATCCAAGGCCAAACACAAAACACACAACCAGGGAGGCAGCACGCTGTGGTTCATCACACCAAATCCTGCAATGGAAATGGCAGCCTTGGTCAGACCTCTGGACCCACGCACCAGTGTGATCTACTCAATTCCACCAGCTTAGGCTATTTATCTGTCACTGGAGCTGTATAAGCTGCTCTTTTTGACATCACCAAAAGATGCTGCAATGTCCTAAAGGGAGAAGCAGGTAACTTCAGGTGAGACATAAACTTGGGTTCTGAGAAAAATCACTTTACAGATTTATTCCTGGTAATAATAAAAAGACAAAGGAAGAAATCATGGAAAAATAAAATACATGAATAATACCTCACCAGGCTAACAAGTAGCTGGAATGTCTAAATAAAATTTCCTCAGAGGCATGCTTTTAACCGTCATGTTTGCTCCTTAAAACCAAAGGAATAAGTTATTTCTGTTAAGCATCTGAAATATTACTTAGAGGAGCGACGGACTGGGTTTTGACTGCAGTGATATAATGAAAGCGCACTAGTTAAAATAACCATCTCTGAAAGGTTTGTGTTCCAAGCTAAACAACACTGTCACAGCCAATTCCAGCTCCATCAAGACAGTGTGACAGGCTAAGGCCACACTGCGCCGCTGAGGGCACGAGCCCTCATACAGGGACTTCTTTTCCCCTCTGTGACTATGTGTGGCCAGAGCAAACACAAAAGCAATGTCAACACCTAAAGCTGAATTACTACAGGATATCACGAAAACCCCACTATCAAATGATGGCTGCACAGTTGAGGTATTTGAGAACTGCTGTCTTAACCTTATTAACAAATTCTACTCAAATCCATGTTATCTGTTTACTTCACATTGATGCTATTTTGTTCAGAAGTCAAGCTGTGTCACATCATCAGTCAGTATGTTCTCCTGGTGCCCGCAGCGTTATACTGCAGTTTTAATTGCCTTTAAAATGGAATCCAGCACAACTTTTCACATGTGAGCTCTCCGTCCCAACCTGCAAACATCCCCGAAACGACTGTCAAGGATGTAAACTGGATTCAGCTCAACAGAGTCTAAACCACAAAAATTAGGCTTGAGAGTTTAGATGTCAGTTTATTTTCTTCTGCACTGAAGCACTTACGGAAAAGTCCACTCTGATACAACTCGTTTTGGTGTCAAAGGAAAGGTTTAGGTTCTGAGACCAGAAGAACCATTTACTGTCCAGTAATTACTAGGTGATTTGTCTCACCTCTCCAGTAGCACAGCACCCAGAATGCCATGCCATCCCAGCCATACTCATAGGATTCCCACTGACTGAACTCAGACATATATTTCAAAGCCATCCGAGTCTGGCTTAAAGATCTCCCAATTTTCGCTCAAAGATGCCAGGTAATGGGGAAATCTTTTTTTCCTTAAAATGTTATGTCAACACTTAACTACCTTCACACTTATGAGAAAAAACGCACAAGTGCACTCACAGGGTCTGTATCTGTGAGAACAGCAGTCCTCCTCCTGTATCACAGCTCTTACCTTTAACTCATCTCATGTGGCTCACCTTAAGGACCACAAGTGGGTCTGAAGCAGTCTGTGGGTCATACCAATTCACAAACTTAGCTAGAAAAGCATTAAAAATAGCAAAAAGGTAACTTCTTAAAGTCTTCTGACTTAGTACATATCAGATCATCAAAATATGGCTGCTTACCAGCAGAGAAGAAGAGACTTGAATAATAAACGTAAGACTTTCTTGATGTTTTTGTACTTTATTGACTAATATTACGTAGTAACAAAGCCTTTTCATTGACACTTGAACAAGAGCAGGTAGAGGCTGAGGGAAATTGCTGCACTGCCTTACAGAACACACACACATTTCTTCTAACTTGCACCATATCCACAGCAAACTAAAAATCAATTTTTGCTTTATGTTTCCCCTAAGGGCTTACAGACACAGCTCCGGCCTTACAGCAAAACAGGCGCTCAGTACTGCATCTGCTGGCCGATCCAGGGCTGCCTCCCCGCTGCGAGAATTCAGCATCGCACAGCTTCCATCTGGGCCAGCTTGCTTAAGCAGTGAAAAAGCGGGAGACAGAGAGGAACGAGCAGTGGCAGTGGGGTACAGAAGAAAGAGGATGTCCCGAGCTGACCCCACCGACAGAACTTTGCCTGGGTCGACAAAGGTATCAGTCAATCCTGCAAGGCCGGCAGCCACTGCAGCGCAGACTCTCGGGAGAACAGAGCAGGCTGAGGCCAAAGCAAGGAACCAGCGCAGAAGGGAAGGCAGAGCAACAGCCCAGAGCTCACCAGGTGCCAGCCCTGCCAGGCTGCCGGAACGCAGCGGGCTGTGAGAGCACAGCATCCGTACGAGCCGCCAGAACGGGGGCTGTTCTGATCTGTCTGCAACATCCCCAGCACAGCACTGGTGGCCACCACTCCCACCCGAAGCGCTTTCACCTGGAATAGGGAATTAACACTCTTACACAGGAGCACGCAATTTAGTACCTATGCTCCTCCAGCTGAGGCCAGGGCTGAAGGGACGGCTCCCATGAGGAAACGTCAGCCAGGGCAGCAATGAACTCAACACAGAGGAGACAGCAAACTTGACCCGAAGCAGCTGTTTGAGGCCCACAGCTGCAGCAAGGGTAAGCCTTTGTCTTGGAGCCAACCAAAGCAACTCCCTTAAAAGTGACCATACTGCAAATGTACAAAGCTCAGGTGTGAGATCCCATTTCAAAAAGGGTTATCAGCATTGAATCTGAGACTATTGAGTACGTTTGAGCAAAAAGAAGCCTCTCCAGTTCAGTGTATGCATCGAAGAGGAGCAACTTGACCAAAGCTGTGCACGCAGGATCGCTCCTCAAGAGCTATAACACAACTCCTAAAAAGAGATTTTATCTTAGCAGAGAGCTTTTTGGCCGCTTCGAAAAGAGCACAGCGTCCTTTTTGCTGGATATTAGCATTTGCTTCCAGCTTGACTTTGGAAGGGCATGAAAGACAAATCTCAGTTTCCATCAGCTTTACCCAAGCCTCAGAATTTATACTCTGTTTTTTTTGACAAAGTTTTGATGAAATAAAGTCAGCCACTCAGGAAGTACATGCAGAAAGGTGACAAAGTGAGTTATCAGTTGGCAAACATGCAGAGACTAACATCCAAATTATAGATAACAATAACACTCAGATTACTGGCAAGCAGTCAAAGGCCCAGATGCCTTGCCAGCATTTTCTACAGAGAAACTCAATACTGACATGTACAGAGTAACACTGAGTATCTGAGGAGTCCATTGCCTCAGTGCAATATTGAGGGTCCACATCCTGACAAAGTGATGATCACTTACCCACTGATACCACTGTAACAGTCCAGCCAAATCTGACAATCAGTTAAGCTGATGGCCATCACGCCAGAGATTAAATTATTGCTGATTTGACCTAGCTGGTGACCCACTGAAGAACAGCAGCAGCTCAATTCAGGAGAGGCGACCCAGGCCATAAAGGTGAGAGGGGCTTCCAAACTTGGTGGAAATTTTAAAACAGTCACATGGTGTCTTTATCTGTAATCAGCCTCACGTATATATGTTAAACATAAGTACGCTACGGTGTATGAGCACGTATCTGACCATCTGCATACCCTCTAAGCTTTGATCTAGTACACTAAATTCAGTGTCCCTCAAACCTGTAGTATGATATGCTACACATTAAAATGATGCTAATAGATAAATTCATGCAATCAGAGAAATTGAAGGGAGACAATCTCACATGCGACAACATTGAGTTATCTTTTTACCTCTCCAATACTACAAGAGTATTCGCTATCCTAAATGCAAGACAATGGATTTTTACAACATATTCTTTTATGAGAAAGAAAGGAATTTTAAGACAAAACAAGGTTTTGTAAGAATAGCAATAGGGTTTTAGTTACCAGTAGTTTAACCAGACATAATGCCTGTCATTTCACACTTGAAAAACCTTTGCCACCTCGTAATCAACGCCTCTTTTGAAGAGGCACCTTCTGTTATATTACATACTTAGAAGGGCTGAATCATAAATCGGGGAGGGGGAATCAGCACAAAGTTTCTTCTTTACTCTTCCTGTTCATCCAAAACCCTTGCTGTTAAATCAGCCAGTATTTCATAGAATCATTCGAACAAACACCTCCAAAGATGAAAGGCTAACACACGGATCCAGAAACTAAATGCCACATGAAGAAAGTATCATACAAGCCTGGGCCAAGAAGCTTCTCGACCTTTACAGTCATCGTCATCCACAACCTTCAGACTAACTCAGCGATGAACCCTTGCACTCCAGAGGCCCTCTTTTCTCTACAGCCTGTGGAGCACAAGGGACCCCACAGCACAGTATGCAGGGTGCAGGAGGGGGACACCGGGTCCATTTCCAGGCTGGGAAAAGGCACAGGGAACAAGTCTGGAAAAGGTAACATTCTTCTTGTCCATGTTTGTCCACATAGCATCCTCCCAAATCTTAAGGCAGTACTCCAGAGCTCTTCTGACCCTATGGGCACGTAGAGACTGACTATAGAAGAGTTGCCATTTATTTGCAGGACAGACTGTTGTTTACGATAGCTCCGCTTAGTGCAGGCATCCAAACAAAGAATGAACCTTGAGAAGGCAAAAAAGCAAACGGTCTTCTCCTTGCAAGAGAAATATCTTAGAAAATCCACAAGGATGGTAAAGCCAAGAAGAGGAATGCAGGATGGGAAACAAAAATTTTCTTCAGCTGCAAATAAATGAGCAACACCTCAGACAGCTAATTCCAAGAAGTCAGAGGCTAATCTGAATTGATGCTGTGCTAAAGCAAGCCCCTTCGTCAGAAGCTCCAGTGATGCCAGCAACCGAAGCACAAGACTTCGCTAAACCTTTAATCTGTTCTAAAAGGGCAAATATAAGTCTAGTCAAGTATGCCTCATGCATAGTAATTTAGCCTCTGATGTAGAAAACAGCAGGCCTCACGGCCAGCATAGCCCATACGTGGTTCCCTCACTAACATCTTCAAGTATCGCCTGCAGCAGTCTGTGCTTGTACGTGGGGCAAAGGGCACCTCTCACGCTCCCCAGCATAACTGGTACATCAACAAAGAAACTGGGAAGAGGGAATGTACAAAAAAAAACCCCACCAAAAGCCATCACCACATCCAGAGGCAAAACAAGCTGCAGAGAGGAATCCTGGCCTATTCCCTGCTCTCCAGAAGCCACAAGGTAAGGCCTTCGCTGTGCACAGAGCAGCACGCAAGGGCTGCTGAGACCCCTCTGAATTCCCACACTCTTGCCACCAGTTTCTTCTCTCACTCCTCGTTTTTCTTTTTCCTGGCTAAAATAATCCTCCATAGAGAAATGGCTAAACAGTTGTCACTTCTTCCAAACAGTATTTAAATCTGAAAGCAGTACTTAGCAGCTGTGCTTCAGTCTACATCGAAGCCACACAGGGCTGTTTGTCATCATAGGATTTCCGACCTTGCACTTCCAATGTCTGTATTTTCCCTTACAGGTAAAAGGGGAGACTGAAGAGTGGGATGTGACTTGGTGCAAATAACCTCCAAGCACTGAAATTTAGATACAAAAAGTTCCCTTTTCATTTGTTTGTCTTTCGTATTTTCCTCCTTATTCACCGCCACATCACCTCATGGTATGCTTCACGTTCTCCGTGATCATAATGTGTTTTCAGTTACTGCACAGGAAACCAAGACAGCTGCAACCAACAGTACACAGGCACACGAATTCCCAGAAACAACAGACATGAAGGAGAGACTGGTTGTGTCTGACGCTGCTCCTAAGCCTCCTCAAGGACCTGCTCTTCGTATGCACAAGGAGCAGATACAGTCCTCTTCTCGGTGCTCTATTTCAGTAGCTCTCTGTACCTTCAGTACCCAGGCCTGACCTGCATTCTGCTGTCATTAGGATCTGTGGCAACACAAGACCAGTAAAGAGGCCACTTGCACAAGCAGGGTACCTGGAAAGGTCACAGGCTGCTCTGCCCCACCAGCAGCCCCTCACATGAATGCCGCAGAGCAATTTCTTCCTCCTTGTTTTGTACATTTCGTTTATTCTTTTGGCTAACAGGTATCTAGAATGATAGAGCTTCAAGTAATTATTCATCTACATTTCACTATTTTATCTGAATTCAAAGTTCACATCACCAGAAGGAAAAGCAGAATGCAAGCTCAAGGACTCACTGACATCACATTAAGGCATCAAAAACACCCAACCTGTTTAGCACAAATATTTCTGCTTACAACACGGCGGTATACTATGTACTACTTCTCTGTCTGTTGGTCTGTGTAGGCACACACGTGAAACCATGACCTTGCCACCACCACTTTCACAGTTACTCTCCACCTTACCATAACCTGCCCTACAATCAGCAATTACCAGGGAAAAAAGTATGGAGGGAGAGTTATTTTGCTGGTTGCCCTGAGTCAACTGAGCCTTAATGCTTCAGGTAAGAAGTAAGCAACTAAAGCAGATGTACCGTTCAAAACAAAGACTGATTTAATGCAAACGTCCCTAGGCAGAAGGAAATAAAGAAGGGAAGTGTAACAAACAACATACACAGATTTATTTTCCTAAGTTTTCCACTGAGGCTTTGGCAGCATTTTAATGTAGGCAGAAAAGAACACTGCTAAAATCATGACTTAACAATTAAAAAGACATTAAGAAAGTGACAGAATAAACAGCAGCACCAAAAGTAACCATTTCTAAACATAATTTGGCTACACTTGCATTTTAGTCAAGTGTATTAAGCATAATCTTAAAGAACAGGGATTAAAAATATACACCTAGCGACTTAAAAATGACGAAGGAGGATTTTGCTTACTACAGGGAACATCTGCTCCGCTGAGAAACGGTGGAAACGCCACCGTGCTAGGTACAACTCACGCCGGCAGTATTGCTGC